CGTATTTTTTTTTTTTTTCATTTTTGACAATTTCATGGTGTTTATGACAAAAGTTCTCACCACAGAACCAGACAGAGGATCGTAGAATCGTTGCAGTAGCTGAATCAATGTACTTTTTCCACAACCGCTTGGACCAATCAAGGCAACTGTTTGTCCAGGATTGATCTCCAAATTCAAAGAATTATATACCCCAATTCCTGGTCTCGTGGGATACTCGAATTTGATCTCCTTGTAATTCACGCTACCATCAGGTTTCTAAATGAGATTAAAGACATGCAACACAAAAGACCAATGAATTTTTCTCACTTTAAAAATACAATTTTTGAGTTCAATCGACTGACCCATTTTTCATCTTTGGGATCAACGGGATCCATCACACTAGGAAACCTGTTCAACAGATTTATGACCTTCTCAGCTGTAGTAATCCCTTTTTGGAAATTGGGAGTATGTGATAATGCACTTGCAACCACTGCACTACATGTAATTAACGATTGGGCTACTCTGAAGTAGAACACAATATTCGTATGTATAATTAGTAAGAAACAAAAAAGACGAATCGAATAGAAATCAAAGAACAATTGTAAAAAACATTTGGAATTATTGACGTACTTGAATAAATTCGTGAATTCAAGTCCTTCATTCTCTATCAAATATCCTCCGTAATACATAATTATGGCATAAGCGAAGAACGGCATGCTTCTAGCAAAAGAATAAATTACGGCACGAATATGAGTGTTTCTTTTTCCTTCTACAAATGCTGGCGTTATGGCACTAACATAGTTTCGATGAAAAATATCTTCAGTTCCGAGACCAACAACAGTCCGTATATTGGCCATAGCTTCAACAGCTATCTGAAAAGTTATTTTTTTTACAATAATTCATTAGACGAACATATAAATCAATATGAGATTTCTCGTTTACCTTTGTAGACTTTTCCAGGCCAGTATGATAATTTAAAGTTTCCTGTCGAACGATTTTTCCCTGCATATATGTTGCGACAATAATGATAGGCATAATACACATTCCTACAAGTCCCAAGCGCCATTCATAATATAGGGAAATGGCGCTCACAATTACGATTGCGCTAACTGATTGCATTAAGACTCCAATTGGTTGTCCAGTTGCACCCTTAATGGCTGTTGCTTCGGTTGATAATTTTGAGCATAGGGCACCAGTTCCATTGTCGGGATGGTCAAACCACGCTATATCTTGTTTCATCATAGCCTCAAATAGAGAGCCACGTAAACGTAGAATCAAGCGTTCACTTGCGGCGCCAAATAAAAATACCTGTTGGTCCAATAACATGATTATGTGTGACACGTGAATAAAATTCAAAAGATTTGTTTGTTTAAACAAAAATAAGAAATAAAATTAATAACTACCTGGCAGAATGTTGCTGTGCCCATTATAATACCTCCAAAGAGAAAATAGAGACAATATTTATTTGTTTCGCTTCGGATTGCGTCCGTATCCGGTAGCGATATTACCTAATAAATGCAATATAAAATTATCATTTCACTATAACTCAATATTACTAGAAATTTTAAACTCTAACTTATGAAGTACTTACTCCTAGAATTTCTCCAAACAAGATTGCGAAAAGTGGCGTCGATGCACCGACAATTATAGAACATATAAATGCGAAAGTTATAAATGGCCATTCAGGAGAATTTAATCGTATGATGTCGTATATGGAAACCGTTTGGTTTTTACTGGCATCCACCTCTTTCTGATCCTGAAGCAATTTAAGTAAAGAAATGTAATTAAAAATGGAAATAAGAAATGAATTGGATGAATAAAACCTTTAAATAAAGAAATACCTCGGAAAGAATGACGATTTCCTTTTCGTCTTCATCGACTTCTTCATTTTTATAAATTTGCGGTGTTGGTGTACTATTATCATCGCCGAGGTTAACAATCTGAATGATTTAATCAACCATTTATATCGAATTAGAGAAAACTCTTTCTTCTTCTTAAGGTCCATATAGTACCGACCTACCTGTGTCATGACTAGTGAATGATAATGACTACGATTCATCATTAATTGATCATGAGTACCCTGCTCCACGACTTTTCCGTCTGACAAGACAATAATTTGATCCGCTGCACGAATGGTGCTCAATCTGTGCGCAACGATAATAGTAGTTCTTCCTTTGCTTGCCTATTGTGGATCAATCATAATTCCAAGGGTAAGGAATTCAATTGTGAATATTTTGCGACTGCTACCATTACCTTGTCTAAAGTGTATTACCTTGTCCAGTGCCTCTTGCACTTTGGCCTCACTGCGCGTATCAAGGGCGGAAGTTGCTTCGTCCAAAAGTAAAATTTTCGGCTTTCTAACCAAAGCTCTGGCGATGGCTATTCTTTGTTTCTGACCACCAGATAACTGCGCGCCTTTCTCGCCGACTTTATTACAATTTTTATAAATCGTATTTGCTATGAATTTATACAAAATAATGCACCAGTACACATTTACGGAATACTGACATTCGTTAATAATTTATTCTTACCGTTATCATCACTGCTGCCGTGTATGTTTGTTCACCCGCTGGAAGATCCATGTCTTCAATGATAAGAGTAACACCATACCAGAAGGAGAGAGCATAATTACTATAAATAGCCAACCAAAGTAGACCAAATCCAAGTCCAGTGAAGAAGCATTTTTTAATGTTATTTCTAAAAGTCGACTGAAGGTTGCTTTTGTATCTGTCAACTTCTAATTGCTGACCACCGAAAGCAACAACCGTGCGTATAGACGATATGACTTCTTCCGCGATATTTCCAGCCTGAGCATAAACTTCTGTTTCTTTTCGAGTAAGTCTCGATAAGATCTAGAAAAAGAAATTCGAAATCTGATGCGTTAATAAATATTATAACAAACCAAAGTAAACCAAATCCAAGTCCATTACAAAAACTTTTTATTATATTATTTCTAAAAGTCGACTGTAAATTGCTTTTGTATTTATCAACTTCTAATTGCTGACCACCGAAAGCAACAACCGTGCGTATAGACGATATGACTTCTTCCGCGATATTTCCAGCCTGAGCATAAACTTCTGTTTCTTTTCGAGTAAGTCTCGATACGATCTAGAAAAATAAAATATAAATATAATGCATCAAAGAATATTTTTTAAGGTGGTACCGTGATAATCATTATAGTAATAGATAATCATGGATTAAACAGGCAGTAAATGATTCCAAAATTTTGATAAAAAAAAATAAATGAATGAAAATATAAGATAACATCAAAATAAAAGCCAGAAATCATTACATATTACCCTATGAAACGGAAGAAATTGGATCTTAACGTTATTTATTTCTATAGGTTGAATATATCTATATAGTGGAAATGGACATTCAACTTAAATCATGTTGAAATTTTGCATAGACGAAGATTTACTTATTGACTAATATATACAAAAATTTAATATTTTATCTTCGATTGGGTGTTATCACCGACCCACCTTAAACATAACGTAAAAGTACTTAATCATTGTTTTTAGAAATTTTCAAACATATCTTATATCGTACTTGAGATACTCCAGTGAGGATCAATGATGTAACGGGCAGTGATATTATACAGACAAGGGCGAGTTTCCAACCTTTAAAAAATGCCAACACAGTGCATGCGATAAATGCTGTCATGTTGTGAACAAACATCGCCAATTTTTCGCCAACTCCTTCCTCGAATTTCATCACGTCTCTGAAAATCAAATTGACGAATGAATCTTGTGTAATTTTTCATGGAAGGTAAAAGACCAGAAGGAAACCTTAAATTGCCTTACTCTGTCAATCTACTTGCTACTTCACCACTTCGCATCGAATCGTACCAAGTTATGTCCTGATGCAACGCTGAATTCAGGTACAACGATCGTACGTGATAGGCTTGTTTTTGAGCAGTGTACTTTAATGTCATTATACTGATGTAACTGAAGAGCAACATGGCAACACCGATAAGTGAATTCAGAATGGCGAATGTCTCGACGGAATCCAAAATATTCATTGTCGCTGACTCTGTACCATTTATCCCTGATTCAATAGCAGCTTCTGTCGCTTTGGAGACCATATCTCCGACCAGTGTTCCATATATTAATATATTTGCCGGTGTGGATAATCCGGAACCAACCGCACAGAGAAGACTGATGCAGATAATTATTTTATCTATGCAAGTAGAATATTTAAACTGAAAAAATAAATGAAACATTGGATAAGTGATTTACCTTGATATGAAAACCCATACTTTTTTAAAATATGAGATTAGTGTTTCAATATGATAATAAAAATATCGTCAGAGGCTCCGCCGATTTTCTTAAATCTACATCTACAGTTTATGAGTGACACAAGTCACAGTGGATATACAGTTATAATGTATGTATCTCCAGAAAACCATAATAGTTATTTTTTATAGCCTCTCGTAACTTACTTAAGGCGGAGCCATATAAGCTACGCGAAATAAAAATCAAGGATTTTCAAGCCGTAACGATTTCCCGTATCTCGCACCTATGAACAGTGGAAATCATAAGGTGAGCCCACCCCTGGCCTAGCGTAATCTAAGGGACTGTAGCTTGTGAGACACTCTACTGTGTGTACGTACAGCGTGATCTTATAATTAGTAATCTTATAACAGATAAGCGTGGTATTGCTTGTACTTTTTGTATCATGATCGTAGACCATATTAAAATTTGTACTTGTGATATTCCTCAACATACATCGTTAGATGTATAATGCTTAAAATAAATAATAAATCACGAGAAGAATTTTAGGCATAATATTTTGTTTGAATCTATTCGAAAGTTAATATTATGTTTATTATAATGATGTCGAAAATATTAGTCCTTGAGCACAAATTATGTAACATTTCAGGACAAAGTTATATTACAATCAATAGCTGATATATGTTATGAGACACGATTTGATGCAAAAAAAATTTTTAAATTTATGTCTACTACACTTTTAATTACACGCCACAATGTACAGTTCGTTATCGATACGTCGCTTATTAGTTATCATAAATTTTATTTATTATGATTACTAATCAGACCGAATATCAATATACTAGACATGTCCGTGTATTAAGAGCCTCGAAATTCTGATATGTATGATATGTATCTAATGTAAACGGCCCAGTTAACGATCGTTTGAGAGCGGCCATGTGATTTTTACTATTTATTCACGCGTTATATAGCCAAACTGAAAACTAAAGGTTTCAACACGTCCGTTAAAGCCTTCCGAATGAGATTCACCTACTATACAACTGAAACAATTAAGGTTTATGACTAATTATTGTTTTAATAGCGGTTCTCTGCTGCCGGGATTTTCGACCCTTGAGAAACACCCATGTGTAGTTTGTTGAACCCCCATGTTAGCCTGCGTGTACATACATACATACCTGACGTAATGACCCCCTTGGCGCAATTTATAGCGCCTGCGCGTGCACTTTCTGACACTTTCGAATATCCCTATGCAAACGGGTTAAATTGCAGTTTAAGAAACTTCATGGACAAATATTAGGTACAAACAACCAAAAATGTATAATTAGTGCACGACTACTTTATTTTCTTTACTTACACGTATAAAAAATATTAAAAAAAAAAGATTTCCGGAAATTTTAATACTCTCATTGTTGTAAATTCGTTTTCCCGTTTCTTCCGTTCATGAAAACTAATATCCTTTTCTTAAATTTTTTATGTCACGGCAAATTAGAATAAATAAGCAAAGCAAATTGTTCGACGCAACAGATGACAAACCGACTGTCAACAACAGAGCAACATAACCTGAATCATGCGACGCACTTATTGATCTCGCGAATTTGAACAAATATCTAACCAAAAGTTAAATAATTTCTCATCTCATCGATAGTCTGGTTCCTGCTGAAGATGTTGACACCATTTTTATGTCGTTTTATACTTACATGACGAACAAAATTCACATCGACGTAGCTCGACGCAATTACTGTCACCGTCTAGCTCTGTCGCTGCGGAGCCACTCAGACGCGTGTCGCACTATTCATTGGTCAATTTCTATTCTAAAATATTTCATTTAAAAAAGTGTGTTTCTCCAATAATATAAAGTGAAAAACGCTTTTTAATTAGCCGGCAATTAAATTATAATTCGATAAAAGTGCATTTACGGCTGTCAAAATTATGCCGTCGAGGTCACAATCTGGAACAAGGTCAGTCACTGGGCCGTTTACCTTATATATGCCATTTCAATGGATAAAGTCGATTAGTAGATGTCCTCGATACTCAGGCTCACTCGTCACGATATCCTATGACATGTCCACTCTATTTATCTCTTCAATTAACCCTACATTACTTACATTACGTGAAATCTGGTTTATCGAATAAAGTGAAACTTACCAATTTTAAATAAGAGAGAGGTGGCAGCTCCGGGTCATTCTTGGTAGTTCCGCTGAAACAAAGTACTTTTTAAACTGCAGTTACATTTTTTTTTTCAAACCTAAAAGCTATTAATTTTACGACACTCACAGTTTTTCATTTTCACTGACACCATCATCCTCATCATCTTCTTCGTAATGTTTAAAATTTGTAATTTGCACTGGCTCCAAATAAAGTTGCGATGGAGAATCGCGAATAGTGGGTATCTTTAACTTAAGATTATGTGGATTCTTCATTCTTACAGCAATTCGTACGCTGGTTCTGTCGGTCGCTCACGCACTGGCAAGGGTTATCGACTGAACGAGATGTTTAAATCCCCTTCTGATATCTAAATCGATTTGAACGATTTATCTTATCAAAGATCTTCACACATGGAAAATTAAGTTATAAAAATCGATATGTAGAAGTTATATCTTACCCTTCGTAATAGGTGAAATTTATCTGGTAATGATGACTTGGCAGTATCAGTTTAATGCTATTCATTTTCATTTAACCCACATAAGCTTTTCAAATTGCTAAAATATTCTGTAATGAAGTACCGTCGATTAAAGTTAACAATAGAAAATGTTTTCCCGCATATTATCGTTTTTTGCTTCCTCATGGAGAAACCTATGTGACGGTGGAAAATTTGCCTGTCCAGATTTTCATGTCGCCACGTTCAGAATGTGCCAAAATGTCGAGAAAACACGTTTGGAGAAAATGTCCAGATGTATCTGTGTGTGTAATGGCCTCCCAAAATTCAACCGTGTATAACGCGAGAACGGTTTTTGCTACAGCCTCCCAATTTTGCAGGCATGTATAGCTCTATACTGCCTTCATTGACTATAACTTTCGTCATGATTCATGCTGCGGCACGGTTTTATGTTGTTTTCAAATTTCAAAAAAAAGGACGTTATCACTCTAGCGATCGCAAATTTTGTGATAATCGTCTAAATAATTCTTGACGAAGAGATTTGTACCCAAGGTTGGTTGGTATTGCATTTGGGCCGAATCCATCGAGAAGTTTTGATTTTATGATATTCTGAATTTTTTGAAAAATTTAATTTATTAATATAACTCCCGTCAACTTTGACCAATTGAGCTCCAATTTTCCGAAAGTATAGAACATTATTTAGCCGTGATATGTCACAAATTTGACGGAGATCAGCAAAACGGATCTGATTATATATATATTCAAGTTTTTGAATTTCAGCCAATTCAAAAATATTAAGCCCGAAGAGATCATGCAAGAGATTTATCCTTAGATGCGTTCTCTACAGTATGAAGCACCCCAAGTTGTGAGAGGCATGGGGACTCACGTTAAACAAGCTGCAAATTGAAACTTGCAATTTGCAGCTTGTTTATATTGCTAATCAATATACTAATGACTAATTAATCTAGAAGTGCCATGATATTGATTAATTTTTATAATTCGATATAACAATTATTAATTTATAGACTCAACTGAGAACATTTCTAAACTGCAAGAATTCAAATTTTGCAATTTGCTTCTTCTGAATCGTCGGTAGTAGATCAAGATTCATCTACAAGGAAGCCAAAGATTAAAAAAAATGAAAATGCTTCCTCATATAAGGACTTCATACACTATCTACAATTCGGAGGAAGCAAATTGCAAGTTTCAATTTGCAGCTTGTTTATATTGCTAATCAATATCTCTCACAACTTGGGGTGCTTCATACTGTAGAGAACGCATCTAAGGATAAATCTCTTGCATGATCTCTTCGGGCTTAATATTTTTGAATTGGCTGAAATTCAAAAACTTGAATATATATATAATCAGATCCGTTTTGCTGATCTCCGTCAAATTTGTGACATATATCTAGAAGTGCCATGATATTGATTAATTTTTATAATTCGATATAACAATTATTAATTTATAGACTCAACTGAGAACATTTCTAAACTGTTACAGAGCTTGTTCTTTTTTTTTTGAATTTTTACATATTACAATTCTATGTTTTCATTGTTTAAGGCTAATGAAGGCAACCAATCACGTGTCCAGTTTCAACGGAACTGTTTCATACCATTGATTAAACTTTGCTTACACGATGCATAGTGAAACGCACAGCATAATATTCCAGACCGCTCTAGAACATCAAGCAGGAGAAATTTATTAATTTCGAGTAGGAGATTTCCTTCTTTCGCATTTCTTACGTGCACTATACTTCGTTAATGTGGAAAAATTTGCTGTGGCTGAATAATGAAAGAGTTACAACACTTCGAGGGTAAATGCTCATATATAATCGTATTTCACATGCTAATCCCAAGGACCGTAACCGTATCTGAAACCGAAATGGATAATCGATAATAACCGGATAATTAAGGAACCGAAACTGTAACCATTAAACGAAATTTCATAAATGTTACATCTAAAACCGGAATGGAAACCTGAAATGGTACAGTGGAAAATTGAAACCAGAACGTCCTTTATTCATAGTAGCAGAGGCGAGTAGAGAGAAAGCAAGGACACAGGCGCGTGCAGTAGCCTGTCGGATCACAGACTGTACAGTCTCTGCAAAAGTTTGAGCTGGACTAAAGCAGTGCGCACGAGGACTAAGCCAACATAACAATCTGAAACAGTGGCACATATATTTTATTTCAAAGATTGCTAAATATTTTTTATCGTTTTTATAAGACTCTATATTTATATCATGGAGCCTAGATAGGATTTATATGTATTGACATTTATATGCTCCTTCCATTGCACCACGACTGGCAATGATATGTCGGCGGAACAACATTTTCGCAAGGACTTGTACACCACATACGCAGTTCAATTTGAAAAGGACAACCTCATCCACTCGTGAGTGAGAGGCCAGCACGCTGGTCGGGTCATCTCTGAATACAGGCGTAGGCGTTCCAGTATGGTTAGAACAGAAATGAGTAGGGAGATGCACAACGCTATGGTTTTAGGTGATACCAAGGGTATGTTCCGAAATGTACTGTAACGTAATTCTTTAACTTATGACCCGACACCGATAGCAAAACATACGAGAACGACTATCTTCGAGAAGCAACCCACGTTACCTTCGGCCGTCCACCCGTCGTTCGTGCATCCGCAAGCCAGGCGGGCGCCAGCCAATTCTTTCTTCACCGGGAACTGACTAGCCGGTATAAACTGGGAGTTGGGGTGGAACAGGCCCAACTCCACCAAGAACGAGAGCTCTGACGGAACCTATCGGACGAGGCGATAGCTTAATGGATCCTGTCGATTTTTGGGGACGCGTAAAATCGAGAAACGCAATCGTAGGTGCTGATCTTTGGGGTCGCGTAAAATCAGCAAACGCATCGATTTTTGGGGACGCGTAAA